TACCTATTACTTGTTTGTTTTATGAAAAATATAATTTACCTAGTATGAAAAGTGTACATAATTATCTATTCCAATATACCTACATTATACGACATCCAATATACCTACATTAATTTTAATGTACGTACTTACAATTAGGATTTAGGTATTATATGACATCCAATGTACCTACCATTTGAATAACATACGTATGTACCTACCATTTGAATAACATACGTACTACGAATAAAGTACCTATTATATATCTAAATAATGTACCTATTTTTTTTCTATAAATAATATAGCCTTTTTTCTCTGAATAAAGTACCTATTATTTGTTTTATTAAAAGTAATTTTTTTAAATGAACCTATTTTCTCTCTCCAAATAACTTACCAATTTTTTTCCTCTAAAATGACAACTATAAGAAATGGGGTGATTGATATGCTATTAATAGGGAGTATATTAATTACTATTATGGCAGTTAATGAAATACTTGAAATAAATTATAAATAAAATATGAAGTTTAGTGGCAACGATGTAAAAACATAAAAATACTACGACCTATTATATCATGCTGGTCATTTAAATTTGAAATTGGGTTTTACACATAAATTTATAGAGTGATGGGTATATGTCTAGGAAATAGAAAATATAGGAATCTATATTGGACAAGCCCAAAATATAAAAACGTAGGGTTATAAGCTTAAAAAGATGCATATGCTTGAACTTTGGTACATGACTTTAAGGTTACATGTGGTGCATGAGAACTTCGATGTCCACCTCTTCACATTAGATTCGGGTAACACATCCTTTTCATCCCAATCAATGGAGGCCAGAAACGAAAGTGACTCCAGTAGAAGGCAGCCATGAAGTCCCAGCAATAAAATTAGAAACAGTAAACTCAACAGCCTCATCAGCTCCAATCACATGAAACCCAGGCCATTGCACCCTTTTGCTCAATCTGGCCCCCGGCCCCCCATTCGCATACTCCGCAAAGTACAGTGTCTTGAGGCTGGATCCTCCAGCCCCAGGCCATTCCACCCAGCCTTGGGGTGCAATCACGTCGTCTATGGTTGATTCCATGACGATGGCTCTAGAGTATTGCTTCCATGGCCTCCCCAAATACGAGCTGTAGGAATGCTTAACTGGAGAGAAGTCCGAGCTGGGTATGATCCTACAGTTTTGGACCGAGAACCCAGTTTTTTGTCCAGGATCAGACCTACCATTTGCCAGAATTGCATTGTAGCCCTTGTGCCTGCGTAGCACCAGATCACAACTCTGAAACACAGCTGCAGCGTTGCCAAAGATGAAGTCTATTGTGCCATAGATGTCACATTCTCTGTAGAACTGACGGAGGGCATAGGCATAGAGAGTGTCTTGGTAGCCAACAATGCTACACCTGTAGAGAACTGAGCGATCAGAAGAGATGTATAGAGCCAAGGCTTGCTTTCCTTGAGGGCCTGCTGTGTTTTGGAACCCTATATCCCTAGCAATGAACCCATCTCCTGTTACGGCTGCCCATGCCATGCAAACCAGGAAGAAACATTACACAATGTTTTTGGCAATTGATCAAACCAATAATAAACATTATATGCACAATTCAATTATCATCCAAAATCTGGATGAAGATATAGAGGTGAATAACACATTATTTTATGACGCTGTGTGACAAGTACTAATTACAACTTTAATTATTAGGGTCAATTTTAAATGTTTAATAAGACATTTCAATTGACATGTGATGTGATTAGTTAATTCGAAAATGTGGATTTTACCCTTCATAAGACTCGCAATGCTGGACTCACCAAATTTTATTTACTAAACTATAAAGAAATGTTCTCTTGCCAGACAGTATGCGGTGGCATAAAATGTTTGTGTTGCCAAACTGTGAAGCCATTAGTAGTCATTGACTTTGTTTGAATGTGTGGTTAAGATTCACAGTCTAGCAATATACACATGATAAGATAAATTTACCCCTAAATTATACATGACATTAAGACTGGCCCAATGTTAAAGTGAATGAATTATTATCATATATCATTTTGCCAACAATATAGACGTGATAAGACCCCTAAATTATACATGACATTAAGACTGGCCCAATGTTAAAGTGAACGAATTATTATCATATATCATTTGACAGGAATATTATGGAAGAGTGAGAGAGAGAGTACTAACTGAAAGTAGCTGAGCCAGGCATGGAGGCACCTTTGGCAACGCTATCATCCCCAGTAATAATAGTGGAATATTTTCCATCTCCTATCAACGTAATACCATCTTTTTTAGTGTGAATCTTCTCCTCATAAACCCCTGCCTTTACATAAATCACAAACCGGCCCCCGGAAGCTGCATTGACGGCTTCCGATACAGTTTTGTAGTCACCCGATCCATCTTTGGCAACCACGGCATCAGCTTTTATGGTGGTTGCCTGAAGTAGTTTCCGGTCCCTTTGCGATACCCATTTGGCAAAAAGCCCTCGGTCAACACTACGGTGATTTGTGACCGTTGTTGTATGGTTACTTGTGATACGGTTGACAAGAGCTAATAGGTTACTTACCAACTGAGAAGCGTTGTTGATGCGCTTGGAAATTTGACCAGAAGCGTAGTCTTTGCAAGTATCTTGGAAGGTCAACGCAGCACTGAGCCATGCTTGTATGTCATGCTTGTTTTTCCTTGGAGATTGTTTGAGTGCCAATAGGGATTGGTCTAGCCGCTTCAAGGACATGTTCATGAGCTCTTCACAATAATAGTCTGCATACATATTCATCAACATATGGTGAAAAAGGCTTGCATTCACAGACAAATACTTACGTTTCTACACTATGAATCGGAGCATGTTTTGTGCACACATATTAATGTTTAGATTTACAGTATGACTACTACCTTTGACGGAATGAACACGTTGAGCTTCACGGGCTCCAAGTTCGCCTCCCAATTTGAATTGGGAGCTGAAGTTGACAAACTTGGAGGTGGCCAACATGGTCTCAGATATGGTCTTGTTTGCAAGAGCCAACATTATATCAACATGTTGTTGTTCATGCCCTAAACCAGACCCCATCATGGTTTGAACACATATGCTGGGATATCTAGTAAAGCTGCATTCCTTTTGAACATAAATTTGGTAGCTATCATTGGCTTGTCCTGCCCCTAACACCGAGGCCCCTACCAGTGCCCAAAACACTACCACAAGCTTCAACATTCTAAATACTGCAGAAAACAAACTCACAAATGTTTTAGCCAAAGAAAGAGGCAATGGGGCCTGAAATATATAGGTGAAGGACGTGCAAAATATGTGGAAAAGTAAAGAGCCTTTCTACTGTTGGTTTGGTGGGCCCCTTGATGAAGAAGTGGGTGCTAAAATGTTCATGTCATTCCTTTACCTTGACTGTGATTCGATAACGGCCTGTTTGTACACTTTTAAGCGCACACTTGAGGACAGCACATGGTACATTTTGTACATGTGGACGACATGTGCACGACGTAGTTTGTTTTTTTTAATTTTTAAAGAATATTATCAATAAATATATACTTATATTATAACCTACTGCAACCATAGGAGGTGGTGATATGTCAAATTAATACATGATTTTAAGTTGATTTGCGCTGCTACTCTTGACTTGAGTCATCTTATGTTTAGAAATCGGGTCACACTATAGTTTAATGCATTTATGGTGCAATTAATTCTGCACCAGCACCAATCTGCTGGCTTTAGGAGAATTTTCAAAACCCAAATTATGCATTTTTGTTTTATTTTTTACAACTGTTATTGACAATCTAAAAAAGTCTGTTCAAGAATATGAGTCCTATATCGGAAATTTGACTAAATAAAATATAAAATATAATGAATTGTTCTACTACTAATAATACCGAGACCTTTTGTGATAAAATTTCACATCTACTGGGCTTTGTAGGTGGTTAAGTTGAAGACAATATCGGTGTTGTTAGTAGTGGGCCGCTGACCCGTCTCTCTGAATTTAACATGGTATCAGAGCTTGAATGTGGTGTTCACATGTTGGGCTTGAATGTTTACCCATACCCTTTACCCAATACTCGGTGCTCATATGTTGGGCTTGAATGATTGACTCCGATGTTGACTTGGCTATGCGTGTGGTCCACTATATGGTAGTCTCACATGAGGGGGCGTGTTAAAGAATATGAGTCCCACATCGAAAACTTGACTAAATAAAATACAAAATATAATGAATAGTTCTATTACTAATAATATCGAGGTCTTTTGTGATAAAACCTTCCCGTCTCTCTGAATTTAACAAAGTCATCTTGCATTTGTTCGAGTTGAGTTTTTACTTTATATTTTTATACCGGAGTTTAGCATAATATTTTTTAAAGAAAATTTCAATAACAATTTCAAGGTTTTTGATTAGATTAGATTTGACATGTATATTGATCAAGTGGTTGGAGCTTTCCAGTTTTTTCAAGCGAAAACTAATCAATAAAAGCACATTAGATTGTGCAATTGTAGAAAGCGATTTCCAACCAACATGACGAAAGAGATGGAAGAAATATTGATACCATGCCATCCTATTCCACTGCAGCTGTATCCTGCCCTAGCTAGTTAATGCAGCAGGTATAATTATATTAATTCACACCAGCTTTTTTTTAGAGATACTCGCATAATTCTTCAATTTTGTATACTTCTTTCCCTCATTATTAATAAAATACTATCATCTTCATATAAAATAAAAGGGTTCCAACAATGTGTTAAAAGATCAAAACCATTCTCTAAACTTTAGGTTATCGTTTTTACCTTAATTATAAAGTATGATTGTGATAATACATGTGGTTAGTGTACCGTCATATATTGGTCGAGGGTTATGATCAGGTAGGCTTTTAATATCTGGGGGACATTAGCACATGCATGCATGTATGTGATTCAAGTGATTGATGCACACGGGACAAGTCATGACCTGATCGAACAAGTAGTTTACCAGTCAAGATAATGAGAATTTCAGCCACCAATGATGAACAACAGTTCATGCTCCCAAACTTTTTGAGGAGGCTAGCGAGCTGTTTTGATACTTGGGCTACAAAAAGGGTTGTGGATTTTGTTGTGTTCTTTAGATACTAAATTCTTCCATCTATCTCTAGTGCTTCTGAAACCTTCGTGTGATTTTCTTTTCTTTATATAGTTTGCTTTAGGTCTTGTCCCATAGAGTCCGATCCGCAGATGAGATTTATTTTTCCTAATATGTGGGATTATTATTGTTAACTCCTCAAAATGTCATAGTGAGCTGAGCCTATCACAAGTCACCACGTGGCCATAACCCGTCTCGACGAACTAGGCACCGACCCGACCAAAGTGATGAGGGTTTCCCATGTTTTAAGTGATGAACGGTAAATCAGCGCTCGGGCCGAACAGTAACCGAGCTGACCATGATAGAGTCGTGTGCAACCCAAAGTACTCAAGCAAAACCTGAATAAGTACGGGTCAGATCAATCACATTATCTGCCTGGTAAAACATCCTGGCAGGTGAGGGGATCATTTAATACATCTCCCATCCAAAACCAGGTGTCGCCATACCCTTCATTCTCCATTCTTATACACTAGTGATGGGAATGGATCATTTAATACACCTCCCATCCTCGATTCACCTGTCACCTCACCACCATACCCCTGTCCACCATTTAATGACGCCCAGGCTTGGGGATAAGGGGGAAAGATCTCCTCGAAATATCTTGGTCTCTCTCCTTATAAATACCCCCATCAATCTCTGGACAAAGGTAATAACTATTCTCACCAAGTAAACTCTACATACTTTATCTCCATCCTGGAACCTTACTTAATTTCGCCATCGGAGGGGGCTCTTCTGGGATTCTCCCCAGTTCGCTCCTATTCTGATAGTTGCTCTAAGTGTGCAGATTCTCCACGGGATACATCCTAGTCCTTAGAGGAACAACACGTCGCTTGGAGGAGGATACGCGGTTTACAATTATTCTTCAATTTAACAAATCTTTCACCATACTACCCTCAAGCTTCCCTATTTTCAGCATTTCATACCTAAATTTTCCCATTTTCAGTATTAAACGTTGAAACATTAAAAACCCCTACCTGTTTTTACCAAAGTCAATGAGATCATTGTGCTTCTAACATCTATGCAATGGTGATCAAAGCTTTTACTGAGTGCAAGGTTCCTAAGAAATTAAATTACACCGTTATTACTCTGGTGCCTAAAGTTACCAATCCTCATACTATGGTTCAGTTTAGGCCAATTAGTCTTTGCTTAACTCTTTATAAAGTCATTTCCAAAATTATTGTTGCAAGGTTAAGACCTATCTTGCCTTGCCTCATTAGCCCAAACCAGGTTAGTTTTGTCCCTGGTAGGCATATAATAGACAATATTCTTATTGCTCAAGAGCTTATGCATAAATTCAAGCTTTCTAAAGGAAGGAAGGGGTTTGTAGCTTGGAAGATTGATCTCTCTAAAGTTTATGACAAACTTAATTGGAATTTTGTTGAGTGTGTTTTATTGGAAGTGGGGCTTCCTACAGCTGTTATTCAACTAATTATGCATTGTGTCTCCACGGTGAGGTACCAGATCTGCATTAATGGTGAGTTAACTGATTCTTTTGTGCCTAAGAATGGTATTAGATAATGTGATCCTCTCTCACCTTACCTCTTTGTCCTATGTGTGGAAAAGTTAGCTCACCTTATTTTTTACTCTATTCAAAAAGGGATTCGGAAACCTGTTAAATCCTTCCATAGTGGTCCAGCTGTTTCTCATCTGTTTTTTACAGATGATCTTATCCTTTTTACTGAAGTCAGCTATAAACAAGCGCATGTTATGAAGAATTTTTTAGAGATTTTCTGTCAGGCTTCTGGGCAAGTCGTTAACTATGATAAGTATGCTATTTTCTGTTCTCCTAATATCCCTAAGGCAATTGCTAAGGAGATTAGCTTTATATGTGGTTCTCCTATTATTGCAAGTGTTGGGAATTATCTTGGTATGCCTTTTTTACATTCACAACCAACTTGTACTACTTATAATGGGTTGATTGATCGAGTGACCAATCGTTTGGCTTCTGGGAAAAGCAAGCTGTTATCTACTGCTGGTAGGGCTACTCTTGTCCAAGCTGTGACCTTTTCCATTCCCATTTATGCTATGCAAACAGTTAAACTTCCAGCTAGTGTCTGTGAGCATCTTGATCGCTTGAATCGTAATTTTTTTTTTAGGGAGGCAGGGAGGAGAAAAATAAAGTCCATCTTTGCCAATGGGATTTGGTATGTAGGCCTAAATATAAAGGGGGAATGGGGTTCAAAAAAACTGCTGCAATGAACCAAGCATTGTTATCTAAAATTGGGTGGAGGGTTTAGAATAAAGACAATGGTTTATGGGCTATGATTTTTGAGGCTAAGTACTTAAAAATGTGCCTTTATTTTGGATTCTCCTAACTCTGCCAAGAAGTCTAGTTCTCACACTTGGAAAGGTATTGTTCATGGTGTGGAGTTGCTTTTGAAAGGTATGAGGTGGAGGATTGGTTTAGATGATCAAGTAAAATTCTGGAAGGATAACTGGTGTAGTGACATACACTTGTTGTATCAGGGTGGTGTTTTGAATGTTTGTGATGCTGACTGCGTGGTCTCGAGCTTTTTTTCTTCATAATTGGTGGGATATAGCCAAGTTAAGAGAAGCTCTTTCAGAGGATTTAGTTCAACAAATTGTAAGTATTCATGTGGGTGTTCATGGGTCTTTATTTGATTCTCAAATTTGGCACGCTTCTTCTAATGATGTTTTCTCTGTTAAGGCTGCTTATAAGTTGTTCTTTGCTGGTCCATCTTGGCCTGAGTCTAGCTGGGCTTTCCTTTGGAAGATGAAAATTCCTCCCAAGTTGCAAATCTTTTTTTGGCTTGCGTCCCAAAGTAAAATCTTATCCAATGAGTATAGAGTGAGGCGTCAGCTGACTATTGATTCTTTTTGTGGGTTATGTGATTGGCATGTGGAATATGTGTTGCATATTTTCCGTGACTGTGAAAGGGCTCAATGTGTTTGGCATGCTCTTTCTATTCCTGGATTTGCTCCCCATTTTTTTAAGCAGGATTTCATACATTGGCTTAAAGTTAATCTGCTTTCTAAAGCTAAATGGGGTGGTGGTTTGCCTTGGTCAGTTGTGTTTGTTTTTACCTGTTGGTACCTGTGGAAATGAAGGAATAAGCATATTTTTCTCCCTCTTGATGAGTCTGTTGCTGACCCTGTTAAGAC